ATAAACTAACGGGGAAATATACAATTTTGAACATTTCGCTCCCTAAGAGCCGCTTATAATCTGAATGATGTCAACATTTTAAGGGCGCGTGTACTACTTTGACTAAACTATCTCGCAAGTGTTTCGCTTTGATTCCTATGACCTTATATGGAGGTTACACTACTCGATTGTAAGTTGGGAAAGTAAACAGTTGAATTGGCTGCGAAACAATCGACAATCGCACAACAGTAGCATAGTTTAGTCAAAGGTGTGTGCCCACTGTAAATAAATTTTCGAGTTTAGGCTTCACCTAAGTAAAACCAGTACAGTTATATGATAAGTCTAGCCAATATCTACGCAATATTGTTATGAAAACTGGCAACTTATATCCATTTTGTGTGACCATTTGTCTTTAAAATGTGACAAAAAACTCTCAAAGAGAATAGGTACAATTTGTATCAGTGAAATGATTCATGTTACTTCCACAAGAGTATCGTGCGAACACACGCGGCATAGAAATTGGCAAATTTACTCAAGTCGCAGCCGGCTTCATGTAATTGACATTATACGCTTCACGTTCTCACAGAATGAAATCACAAATTTCACTCAAAGCGAACAGACCCTTATATTTTTTATAATAAAAATGTCAACGTCGCTAAGAGCGTTTAGTCCGGGTCGAATTTGCGATGTAACGCTTGTCACATCAAAATACTGCAGAGGGCGCTCGCAGCCGGGTATAATCGGGATCATGATTGAGGTAATTTTGTAAAGTGGTCCCGAAAGAACTGGCCCGTTGACTTTCCGCCTTCCAGCCTACAGTTAAAATATTGCCTTGAGATAAAAGCAAAAATTAAACTCTCCAACTTCTAACCAACACGGCGGTTTATCGCTAAACGAAATCTTTCTAATTCCTTAGATACTAGGGAATTTAGGTTAGCTACGATATAGGACCTGATTTTTGTCGTTTAACTATTGTCATGAATTCTAGATGGATATTTAAAACTAAAATAATTAACTATCTATGTATAATATTATCTATTATAATAAAGCGTAAACACACATTTCTTTGTTGCCTAAGATATCAGCAATTACAGCATATCTTTGAATAACTCTTTTTTAACAATAAGCCCTACGCTTGCGTCACGCTTTAGGCTATATATTTTAACGCCATTAATCTTAGTAGGTATTTTGGATAAAAAACCTAATGTGGGAAAGAGACCATAAATTGCTGCCAACATCAAGAAAGCGAGGTTGTCATCATATCATCTCATTTTGACATTTGTAATTAACAATTTGACAAATGTAAACAATAAAGTAAAATTTTCATAATTTCATGCAGATGAAGTCGCACGGGAACAGCTAGTTAATTATAGTTTAATTTGATGTTTCGCTGAAGTTGCAAACAAAATTTAGTTTCTGATATAAATATGTACCAAAATGGCTCCGGATTAATACTCAAGAAAAGCGATATTTAAAGTATTGAAAACAAAAAGCATGAACGACTAATTTTAGTATATACTAATATAAAGAAAAAAGATTTGTATTTTTTACGTTTTTTAAATATAAGATGGCAAACGAGCAAGATGCCAACTGAATCCACCAAAATGGAAAGCGACCGCTGCCCATAAACATCCGCAATTGCAGATGCGTTGCCTACCCTTGACTGACGGAAGAGACGCACATAATGAGGATATTTCCCCTTCCTATGCGTCTCCTCCACCGTCAAGTCCACTTTTTCTTCCCATCCTTTCCTCTTAAAAAAAGGGTGGAAAGGGAAAAGGACTAAAATTAGGCTTAATTATTACGTTTTACTCAAAAATTAGTAGGCCGAGTCAGTAACGTGTTTTTTACTATTTTTTAATTTCATGCGGACAAAGTCGCGAGCACCGAGCAATAAACGAGAGATGTGAGCAAAGTCGGTGCGAAATTGTACTCGTAATAATTCTTGAGTGTCACGGACGACAGAGTTTTAGATTTTAAACTGCATCGTATATTTAAATTAAGTTTAAAAAATACTAGTAAATATGTATAGATGAAAATTTCATGTATATTTAAACTATAGTAAGTACACCAATTTTAATATAATATCCGAGATTAGTAATGTTTTATTAACGAAAATAATTTCATACCCTGCAAAATTTAATTAGGGCTGTCCAAAATGTGTAGTATTCAGACCAAAATAGTGACACAAATATGTAAAAGAGTATTTTAGCCATGATTAAACTAATTTAGTCAGATTGTAAGCAATGCGTATAAGATTCGTTTCAATTGAAGTATTAGTTTCAACAACCGTCAGATTAACGAAGACAATGTTTGGTTCTAAACGTTAACAAAAATATTATTTTATAATAGAGAATATTGCCAGCCCTATTTCCAACGCAGTAATGCAATTTTCGCGTCCTCTTTAATCCCTGTGTAATCTGGAGCGGTCTGTATCTCTAATTCCCTGTCTCTAGAATTAGGCCTTTATTACCATTGCATAAAACTGGCCTTTCCATATTGTATGATATTTCAGCATACATGTTTCAAATTGGCAGATGTTCAGTTTAATATTCAGTGTAGGCGTTTGAAAAGGTGTTGCGAGTCTGAAATTCACATTTCTACTCTTTGTTAAATTTAGCTGTAGTTTATACGTCTTTTTTATTTGAGGGCCTCTTTTAACATATTTTATGAATAGAAAAAAATATGTTAACACTTGTACTGCGGCTAGTAAATTCACCTGGTACGGCGGCGGGCCTAAATGCGCCCCCAATGATATTTCCGCTAGTGTGTAACAGGTCTTTCTAGACCCACTAGTAAGATAGATTAAGTTGCTATAACTTTAAGGAAATATGTATACATTTTAAGTAAACTAATGTATACACCTAAAATAATCTTTTCGCAATAGCGAGAGGGACATAGTTTTCTTCGTCAGCACTAGCTTAAGTACCACGTCAGGCCGATATCGGCCTGTTACGCAGCGAGCGTGTTATATTAACCACTGGTTTACGCGTTTAATGGGTTGCTAAGTTTCCATTTATTGTATTACATTATCTAGTGAATTTATTTGCACAACTAACCGAGTAGTGTACACCTCCATATAAGCTCAGAGGATTCAAAACGAGAGAAAGGTGTGCGCACTCTTATGACACAAACGTAGAAGAATCAAGATATTTGTCAGTATTGTGTTTGACGACAATCATTAATCTGTGTCACTGTTAAGTTACATTAATTTTAATTATACATTCCAGCTGACATGGTAATCGCGGCGAATGCATTTATAATATTCCTCGGGGGATTCGAGACG